TTTTTACGTTACGGTATATATTATTATTAAATTAAAAATTCTAAATAATATTTTATAAAATATCAAAACAATCAAATAATTTTTTGTGCAAATGAAATTATTAAATCAATATTGTAGGTGGAAAACATGAAACACTGTTAAAGTATCGATCCTTTTTATAAAAAGTATGGACACTTTCAATATAATATAATGTAATAGGTAAATTTGCAATGCTATCGGTATAAATATACTGGTTTACTTATAAAATAGGTAAATATAAGCGCTACCTATTACATTATATAAGCGCTACCTAGTATGTTATTGTACTTTATAATATTTCCGGTTAAATAATATAACATAACCGGTCTAAATTTTAACCGGTCACTTGTTTAACCGGTCACGCCGTATATTAGCCGTTTTTTAGGCGCCGCACCGCAGAACGACCCCACATGAGATGTTATACTTTGTACACGTAAAAGAGTCTGCATCTCTAAAAGTTAGCTTTAAAGAGTACCACCGAAAAGTGCTTTTAATGGGCAGTTATGGGTGTGGGGACACACAATGGGTATCGGCTCTGGATTTCAATGGGGTCAGTATGTTGTCGCTCCAATTTAAGTATTTTGGTGACCACCTGTTTTTGAAACTAGTATTCTTTTTTATTCTAATATATCAATTAAAATCATTTGGATATTCTTTTAACCAAACAGAAGGGAAGTACCAACATTTAATTGTAACTTTGGAAGTAATAAGATTTCGGCTATTTACCCTAATATCACTCTAAGGAATAGGCGTTTTACCCAAAATCAAACAAAGAATCAATAATTACTTGTCATGCATCTATCGATCAAATTTTGCAGATCTAACATTTATTTGTTGACGTGAACGGAAGGCGCGGATCACCAAACGTGTCTTTCATGTGTTTCGTTTGAGCTGACGCCACGTAGATAAAACGTGGATCACCATCCGCGCCTTCGCAAGGAAAACTGATACTCGACAGAAGGCGCGTATCACCATCTGCATCTTCCATTATTCACCTTGAATTATTGGGTACTCCGTTATTACCCGAGCCTTAAAGTTCGACGACTCATCCATCCCCCTCCCTATAAATACCCCCGAATGTAAACATCAAACAACACCAAAATTACTTTAACATTCTTCCTTCTATCAAGCTAAGTAGATTTTAGTTTAGTTTTTAGAAGGTACAATTATTTTATATTTATTTATTTGACCAATTTTTTTATATTAACTATTTCGTATTATTTTTGTGGTTGTAAACTGGAAGGCGAAATCAAATCTCGAGACATTTTATCGATAATGTATTGTGAATTTTTTAAAATATTTTAGTATTATATTTTAATTCGTATATTATTTATTTAATTAGGTGTATTTCAGTTTTTTTCAGGTATAAGACTCTCAATCTTTTAAACTCTCAAAATGAGATGTATTTAAGCTTTTGTTTATTATGATGGAAAAATTCGGGAAGATGAAATCGACGTCTTCGCATCAAATCATTCTGTCAGAATATCCTTCAAGAGAAACACTACTCTTGAGGAGTTGATCACTAAAATTTCAATGAAGATTAATGTTAGAAGTACTAAAAGACTATTCTTACTTCAGTACAAATTTTCAACCGCAATATTTTCGTTAACTTATACTGCGCTCGAACTCTCCAACGATAACGATATTGCTATAATGGTTGATTATCATAATCAAAATTCATACGCTAATACAGAAATGTATGAGACAATTATTGAAGTGTCTACGATTCCTAGTATGTCATTATGCTCCTACTATGGGTTGACTCAACAAGCTGATCAAGTTGGCAGGCAAACTCAAGTAATGTGTAATGGTTTTAACTCGTTAATGGGAAATCTGCATCTTGGTACCATCCCATCAAGTTCAATGGGGGAGACATTCATCAATAACTTGTTACGATCCCTATCAAGGTGGCTCCATGAACAATCCGTATGGCAATATTGCTTCCAGTTCAAGGGGAAGACATTCATATGCAAATTTCTTTGACTTGAATATAGGGATGACCTCGACACAACAATCTGTTTAGTACCCATTTGACACAATGCCTTCAAGTTCCATGAGGAGACATTCAACTACGAGCTTCTTCGACCTCAATGCCAAGAAGCTTGCGACACAATACTCAGTTCAAAACTCATATGACACAATGTCTTCAAGTTCAAGAGGAACCCATTCAACTACCAACTTGTTCGATCTAAATAGCGGCATCACAGAGGAACTTTAATCTCCACCAGAAGAACCTCTTCGTGAGCCAGGTGCGAATAGTGCTTAGACTGGACTATTCGTTGAGCCAGAATCACCGTAATTCAACATGAACTCTGATGATGATAATTTAGATGAAGTTCCCACAAATACAGTACAGAACAAACCTTCAGCACACATATATGAAGTTGACTATGGTGCAATGTATGGGCTAGAATTTGCGGATATGCCTAATGTTGGTGACTATGAATTTAACTCATCATTCAATAATGGTGAGTTATATATCGAAATGGAGTTTCCATAAAAAAAAGTGATATTACAATTAAGAATTACAACATTCGTAATTATGTTCACTCTAGAGTCGCCGATCCACCACCGAAAAGTATGTCCATTATTGTGTCCAACGTGATAACGGATTCAATTAGATGATTTTTGTATCAAAGAGGAGGAGGAAAAATAACATATGAAAACTAACAATATACAAAGGTCCTCATCAATGTTGTGCTAGAGGGATCAACCAAGACCATCACAAACTGGACTTCGATATTATTTGCCAAGTCATCATGCACATGGTCAAAGCAAGCTCCCTGATAGCTATTGCGGTGTTGATTTCAGCTATACAAACTCAATATGGGTACATCGTCTCCTACAGGAAAACATGGAAGGCAAAGAAGAATGCCATTAAAAAACTTCACGGTGAGTCATAATATGTAAGCCCGAGAAAATATTTTAATATGTTCCTCGGAACAGTTGTCGTTCAACTGTTGAAAATTTGTAGTCAACCATGATAACGATATTTGACCACCGTTGAAATTAGGCGAGATACCTCCAAGATACTCCTCGCACAAGGAATGCCAATCACCATCCGCGACACCAGAAATGATATCCCCATCTACCAGAAGCCCCAAATGTAAGGAAACATCATCCAGTGTAATAATGCACTCCCCACACGGTAGATGGAATGTGTATGTCCCTAGTCTCCACCTCTCAACCAGTGCAGAAATAAGGTTGGATTCAAGGTTACAATGCCCTTCATATCTAGCTATGTAATCGAATCCAGCCTCGGCTAAATACGACCAGACACGATTCGATATCTCTAACTTAGCGTTACGAATAAATAAATCTAATAAACGATCATTCCCCTAATTAAATAAATATTATACAAATTTAAATATAAACTAATACTAAAAAATAAATAAATAAAACATTCAAAATAATTAACATAACACAATTTAAAATTGTTATTGTATCCGCAAAATGACTCGAAATATGATTATTATCTAAACGCGACAACATGTCTTCCATTTTATAATTGCAAAATATAAAAAAAAATTAACACAATAAAATATAATACAATAATACAATATTTAATAAAAATAATATAATAAAAATAATTTTACCTTCTAAAAATAATAACAGAACTCACTTGAAGCCTGTTAGAATGAATGATAAAAGTAAGAATGAGAGTGTTTTTTTGTGTGGTTTGAGAGTTGTACGAGGTGATATTTATAGGAGAGGAGTATGTGGTAATTTAGGGGGAGCGACAGACGGTTAGGGGTTTTTATTGTGTGTCATTTTCCTCACGAAGGCGCGGATGGTGATCCACGTTTTTCTTGCGTGGCGCCAACTCGAACAAAAACTCAAAGAATGCGCGTTTGGTGATCCACGTCTTTCGTCCATGTAAGCAAATGGGTGTTAGAACAATAAAATTTGATCAATGAGTGTCTGACAAATAATTATTGATTATTTGAATGCTTTTTGGGTAAAAATGACTAATGATCACGGTGACAAGTTATCACCACACAGAATACAAACGTAGGTTTTTACCCAGAAAATTACTTTAATTTGGACAACGAGTATCAAATTTGTCAAACCAATAGTAGGAAATAAAGTTACAACAAAATATACTTGTTCACAATGATAATTAAAGAAAATATGAGAAAAATAAAATGTTATTATATCGTGAAAAAATCATTATATAAAAAAATATAGTTTCTTTGCGTTATTAAATGCTAATCACAATTATATTAACAAAAAATCATTATATGCTAATCATTAAGGGTTTTTCTTTTCACGTGATAGTTGGCTTTGGATTTGGGTATTCATCCCTGGTGGTGCAAAGTTCCGAGAGACTGCAAATCGAAGCAAAGTTTAATTTTGGCATTTATTTTATTTCGAACTTAGTTTCAGCTTTATTCCATGGCTGCTTTTTTGTTTTGCATGGCTTCTTTTCTTTAATCTTTTCTCAAGATACTGTTACTATTATTTTTTTCACTTTTATTTATTTCTCCATACAACTATATTTAATGCACAATAAATAAATAGCATGTGAGATTCAATTGTACATATTCAGTATTCGACGCATATCTATTACTTGTTTGGCAAGTATGGGAAATGGTATATTCTCTTGGTCAAATTTCTAATTTGCTCACGGTAGCTGCTTCAAGGCTTGGCTCTAAGAGCTCCAGCAAGACTCGTTCATTTATTATAATAGAGACCATCGTGGCATTGTTGCCCCTTCTTGTTCCCACAAGCTTTTCTTCTTCTTTTTGCTTGCTTCACGTTAGAGATGGTAGCCCATGCTTGAAAGTTCAAAGCTTTCGAGGTATTTCTACAGTTGTTTATCAGTGAACCTAAAACTCTGATCTGATTTGAAGTTACTTGGATCATTAGTTTTTTGGATCATTCTTTTTGTAGATATATGATGTATTGCTACTTGTTTACAGGTGATGGAAGGAATCATCAATCTCTGAAAAAGAAAACTGTGAATTTTGTATTATTTCACGTTTAAGTCTCGAGTGAACAATTGAATATGTCTTCGATCACTTGGATCACTTCGCTTTCGTGTTCAAGCTCTGTGATTGAATCATCCAAGGAGACGACATCTATTCATGTTGTATTCCAATGGCTGAGATTCATTTTCTTTTCTCCTTGTCCGCAAAGGGTTCTCTTCTCGGCCGTTGATATCTTTTTATTGCTTACCCTCCTATGCTTTGCTGTTTACAAGCTCTATTCTCGAGGAAATAGCCATGGCAGCTCCGGCAACTACACGCATCTCATAAGAAATAACAGGGCCTTTATCAAGACTACCATATGGTTCAAACTCCCTTTGACTGTGACGGCTGTATTAGCGTTTTCTTACAGTATTATATGCATTCTTGCATTTACAAGGAGTAGCCAGGAGCCATGGAAGCAATTTGATGGTATGTTTTGGTTGGTTCAAGCCATAACTCATGCTGTGATTGCAATCTTAATCATCCATGAGAAGAGATTCGAGGCTGTTAAACATCCATTATCTCTCCGTGCTTATTGGTTTGCGAATTTCATCATCATTTCGTTGTTCGCCGCATCCGGTATCATTCGTGCGGTGTCTGTCGAAACAGACGAGGATAAACATTTGAGGCTGGATGATATGGTTTCCTTTGTTTCTTTCCCATTATCAGTTCTTCTTATTGTTGTGGCCATTAGAGGTTTGACTGGTATAACGGTGACCGGGGTACCCGAGGCAACAATGGATGAAGAGGAAGCCAAGTCACATGAGCCGCTTTTGAGCAAACCGAAAGTGAGTGGCTTTGCTTCAGCTTCCATAGTATCAAAGGCCTTTTGGATATGGATGAATCCTCTGTTGAGACAAGGCTACAAATCCCCTCTCAAATTGGAGGATGTCCCTACTATGTCACCCGAACATAGGGCCGAGAAGATGTCGCAGCTCTTCGAACTGAACTGGCCTAAACCACATGAAAAATTGAGCCACCCTGTTCGGACTACATTGCTACGGTGCTTTTGGAAGGAAGTTGCCCTGACTGCATTCCTTGCAATAGTGCGGCTTTGCGTTATGTATGTCGGTCCGGTACTGATTCAAAGCTTTGTCGACTACACTGCGGGGAAAAGAAGCTCACCTTATGAAGGATACTATCTTATATCGATTCTTCTCATATCGAAGTTTTTCGAAGTGTGGACTACTCATCACTTCAACTTCAACAATCAGAAACTCGGGACGCTCATTCGTTGCAGTCTTATCACCTCTTTATACAAGAAGGGGTTAAGGTTAACATGCTCCGCTCGTCAGGCTCATGGTGTTGGACAGATTGTGAATTACATGGCTGTTGATGCTCAACAGCTCTCTGATATGATGATGCAGCTGCATTCTATTTGGATTACTCCTTTGGAAGTTGCGGTTGCCATGGTGCTTTTGTATAAGTACCTCGGTGTTGCGATAGTCACTGCAATGATTGGACTTCTCGGTGTTTTTGTTTTTGTGGTAATCGGAACCAGAAGGAACAACCAGTTTCAATTCAAGGTGATGCAGAATCGTGACAAGAGGATGAAGGCCACCAATGAGATGCTTAATTACATGAGGGTGATCAAGTTCCAGGCTTGGGAAGAACACTTCAATAAACGAATCCAATCTTTCCGTGAAACTGAGTTCAAATGGCTATGCAAATTCACGTATTCGATCACCGGAAATGTCATAGTGATGTGGTCAACACCAGTACTGATAGCTACCGTCACATTTTGGACTGCACTTTTATTAGGAGTGAAACTTGATGCAGGGCTAGTGTTCACGACAACAACAATCTTGAAGATCTTGCAGGAGCCCATCAGGAACTTCCCACAGTCGATGATCTCGCTTTCACAAGCAATGATTTCCTTGGAGAGATTGGATACTTATATGATGAGCAAGGAATTAGCGGATTCATCGGCTGAGAGACAGGAGGGTTGTGACGGTAGTATTGCCGTCGAAGTTAAAAATGGGGCATTTAGCTGGGATGATGAAAATGGAGAGGAGGTTCTGAAAAACATTAACTTAGAGGTCAAGAAAGGGGAACTTACCGCTATAGTCGGGACCGTGGGATCCGGGAAATCTTCTCTTCTTGCTTCCATTCTCGGGGAGATGCGCAAAACATCAGGAAAGGTATGAAGTCTGAGCCCATCATTGATTATGCAACTGTGAATACTTATTTCATTGTAGTTGAATGTACATCAAGTTTCTTCTAGAACAATGTTAACTCTAACATGGGAATGTTTGTTAAATACAATTCTTTCTGTTTCCATGACAGGTTAAGCTTTGCGGTTCGACTGCATATGTAGCTCAAACATCTTGGATTCAAAACGGAACAATTCAAGAGAACATCCTGTTTGGTCTGCCGATGAACGAGGAGAAATACAGGGAAGTTGTAAGGGTTTGCTGTTTGGAGAAAGATTTAGAAATGATGGATTTCGGTGATCAGACTGAAATAGGAGAACGTGGAATCAACCTTAGTGGCGGCCAGAAGCAACGGATACAACTTGCGAGAGCTGTTTACCAAGATTGTGACATCTACCTTCTTGATGACGTCTTTAGCGCCGTTGACGCACATACAGGGACAGACATATTTAAGGTAACATTGTTGTTTGATCCATTACAAACTTTGCAAATGTTGGAAAGAAATGATCCATCATTGATGTTGCTTATGAAAGCTTGATACGTTTATTTTGTATGCTTTATCTGCAGGAATGTCTGAGAGGAGCTCTCAAGGGGAAGACTATTTTGCTTGTAACACATCAAGTGGACTTCTTGCACAATGTTGATCTTATCTTGGTAAGTAGGTTAGGTATTATCTATTTCCTGGAACAGATACAGGCCTGTACATGCTCTCATATACGAGTATGCAGTGTTTCTAAAATATCTGTGTGTAAATTCCAGGTGATGCGAGACGGGATGATAGTACAGTCAGGGAAGTATAATAGTCTACTCGACTCTGGCTTGGATTTCGGTGCTCTGGTAGCTGCACATGAAACGGCTATGGAGCTAGTAGAAGCAGGCAACAATGCACCCGAAGAAAATTCCAACAAAACATCCAAACCTCCTCAGGGCGTTTCCAATCTTGGGGAAGCGAATGGTGAGTCTCAAGACCACCCGAAATCCATTAAGGGGGATTCTAAGCTGATCAAAGATGAAGAGAGGGAAACCGGTAAAGTCAGCTTCAATGTATACAAAGTGTACTGCACTGAGGCCTTTGGCTGGTGGGGTGTGGCTGCAGTACTGTTAATATCTCTGGTATGGCAAGGTTCTCTAATGGCCGGCGATTATTGGCTCTCGTACGAAACTTCAGCCAAACACGCTCTTTCATTCGACCCTTCGGTATTTATATCTGTTTATGCCATCATAGCAGCTGTGTCTGTTGTGTTGATTTTCATCAGGGCCATTTTTGTTACACTTATGGGGCTCAAAACAGCTCAGATCTTTTTCGGGCAAATTCTTCAAAGCATCTTGCATGCCCCTATGTCCTTTTTCGATACCACACCTTCAGGAAGAATTTTAAGTCGGGTAAGGTTTCGAAGACTGTAATTTTGTCACTTTCTCTACGGATCATATCTGTATACCATCTCTCGTTTTCATATCTTAGGACTAACAGATACCTTCCTTTTCTAATCAACAGGCATCAACTGATCAGACCAACGTTGATTTCATTGTTCCGTTCTTCATGGGGCTAATAATTTACATGTACATAACACTGCTCAGTATCTTCATAATCACATGTCAATATGCTTGGCCAACAATATTCCTGATAATTCCTCTTGGTTGGCTGAATATCTGGTATCGGGTACGCGTCTTTCATGCGAATTTAAAGAATTCTTCTCATTCACATATATGGACCAACAGTTTGTTTATCTGCTTAGGTCATTTTTCTTGAATTACAGGGATACTTCCTTGCATCATCTCGAGAATTAACTCGCCTTGACTCGATCACCAAAGCACCCGTCATTCATCACTTCTCGGAAAGCATCTCCGGAGTTATGACAATTCGAGCATTCAGAAAGGAGGATAGTTTTTGTCAGGAAAATGTTAACAGAGTAAATTCCAATTTACGCATGGATTTCCACAACTATGGATCCAATGAATGGTTGGGGTTCCGCTTGGAACTAATCGGGAGTATAGTCCTCTGCCTTTCTACATTGTTTATGATCATGTTACCTAGCAGCATTGTCAAGCCAGGTAATTGTATATGTGCATTGGCCTTGTACCGTCGGAGTATAAGAACGTTTGAAGAGATTTGACTTTGTTTTGCAAAAATGCAGAAAATGTGGGGTTATCTCTTTCATACGGGTTGTCCCTCAACAGCGTGTTGTTCTGGGCAATATACATGAGCTGCCTTGTGGAAAACAGGATGGTTTCTGTTGAAAGAATAAAGCAGTTTTCGAGGCTTGAGCCGGAAGCGGCATGGCATATTGAAAACAGCCTTCCCCCTCCGAATTGGCCTGCCAAAGGCAACGTCGAGCTCAAAGACCTGCAGGTAACTTTGCTCTTTACACTTTTCTCTCTGTAACTTCTTTCGAACTACATGCTTTGCCGGAGTTGATGAACTACTTCCGACAATTTTGGCTAACAGGTAAGATACCGTCCAAGCACGCCTCTTGTACTTAAAGGCATTACTCTGAGCATTAACGGTGGTGAAAAAATCGGTGTTGTTGGTCGGACGGGGAGTGGGAAGTCGACTTTAATCCAAGTTTTCTTTAGACTGGTTGAGCCAACAGGAGGGAAAATAATCATCGATGGCATAGATATTTGCATGCTAGGACTTCATAATCTTAGGTCGCGCTTCGGAATCATCCCACAAGAACCTGTCTTATTCGAAGGAACTGTTAGAAGCAACATCGATCCGGTAGGACAGTATTCGGATGAAGAGATATGGAAGGTAAACATGTTATTCCAACAACATTATGAACCATTTTAGGCCATACAAGTTTATTTGTAGATGTTTTCTGCAGAGCCTTGAGCGCTGCCAACTTAAAGACGTTGTTGCTTCGAAACCAGATAAACTCGATTCTTTAGGTAAGTGACTATCAACTTGTTCCGAGTGTACCGACTGAAGTACTGCTTAACCGAAACCATTTTAATTACCAGTGGTTGACAACGGAGACAATTGGAGCGTGGGGCAAAGGCAGCTCCTGTGCTTGGGGAGAGTTATGCTTAAGCGCAGCAGGCTTCTGTTCATGGACGAGGCAACTGCATCGGTCGATTCTCAAACTGATGTCATAATCCAAAAGATTATCAGGGAAGAGTTTGCAGCCTGCACGATCATCAGCATTGCTCACAGAATACCAACAGTAATGGACTGTGATAGGGTATTAGTCGTCGATGCAGGCGAGCCCTTTCTCTTACGCTTTTCACTCATGCGAAACTTCAATGCAAAGCATTCATGTTTACAGTTTGTCACACGAATTTCATATCTAACGCTTCTGTTTTTTACACAGGAAAGGCTAAAGAATTCAACTCACCATCGCGCTTGCTCGAAAGGCCAACACTCTTTGCAGCATTGGTTCAAGAATATGCCAACCGCTCTTCCGGTTTATAACCGAATCTCGTGGAGGATTTTTCATAGACTACCGGTGCCGGAAATCCCAAAGGTGACATGTGAGTTTTGCAGATGGTAGTTAACCTAGTATACATTCAGCTACGAAGAATGTTCTATTTATTTCAATAAAAGTTCAGCAAAATGTTATCTATGCCTATTGGGCGTGTCTATGTACGAATGTACTCATTTAATATATTTCTTTTACCTTCTTTTCCCATGGATCTCTCTTTATGAAGCTATTAGCACACTAAGAACGACCTTCGTAGGTAATTTGAATCAATATCTAACAGCTACAACTTGGATCAATATCTTGTTGCTTCCTATTGGTGGCTTCTTAACGTGTAGCTATAGCATTGAGGAGAAATTGGATTTAACCTTGAAATGATCATGGATATCATGTTGCTGTGGAGCAAAGGTGTAGGTTTGTGAAAGCAGGAGGAACAGACCGCGAAGTTGGGATATTTGATATGGGCATAGTACTAATTTTTTTTAAAGAGGAAATTCATTAAATTCCAATTACATCCAAGAGAATTACATGCTTAAAACAATCAGATTCGTCATAATAAAATCAGTACGGATTGGGTTTCGACAAAGCACACTAAACAAGAGTGTGCACCACTTAGTTAGCCTCGCGGTTAATAAATTTTTAGATCTGTCCATATTCAAGAACCATTTGCATACCCATTATTTTGGATCCCATTTATAAATTTCTAAATCCGTCCTGCCATTGTCTTAACCAAAATAAGGAACCCTCCTCTTCTCCAACCAACAAGTAGTTTGTCGCTATAAGAACCGATTGTTCTTGAATATTAACTCCCCACGATCCGGACATGGTCCCCAAACACATTATATTTTATTTGTAAATAATACTAACTTATCTTATTCCTAGTATTTAATGGAAGATGCATGGTATGGCATGTGTGTAAATATAATTGTGGGGAACCTTCTATGCCCATTACCTGCTCAATCATTTTACACTGTAAAGTACTAAAAAATAATGTTATAATGGCCAAAATTATAGTATAAAAAATGGAACCACTTGCACAACAAATAATGTTTAAAATTTTATTCAAGAGAGAAACGTTCCACGTTATATTATAAGAGAATACTAAACTAGAACTCAGTTCCACCAACCATGAAGTGCCAACAACTATAGCTCTATATGCTTGATTTATTACAGTTTATAAAACTTTAATTTTCAGCAGAATAACAAGTAAGATATTGAGGGTTGGCAAGAAGCAAAATAGAAAATGTGTCCCTCACGGGTCAGCATCATCGAAGACGGACAAAAATGTTCACCACAATGGTATCCGATAAGTAAAGGCGGCAAACATTGTTTTCAAGATTTGATCCAACCCATGCATGAACTTGAGTAGTCCAATTTTCAATCAAGGGAAGACAAGTGTGGTTGCGTTTAGCTGATCACCTCAACTTCAGGAAGGATGTTATTTGTCTTGATGGTCTTGGTCAAGGGGTTTGTTGTGGAAGTCGTTTTCGGATGGATTAGTTAAGGGCCCATCGAATATAGTATTAAGAAAATTGTAAACCATTCCCCAACACGTTGCTTAAGATGGACCGCCCCAACCAAACGACGTGCGACTCTCAAGTCCCTACACCTGCACAACCCCTGACCTGGCTCCAAATAAATTAAAAGCTCTACTTTTGCCTCCACTCTCAATACTTTCAACTCTACTGATTTACTTCATTTACTTATCTAATTTAGAAATTAAACCTATCTCGATAGAATTTCATTATGTGTTATCACTTGGATTTCTTGAAACATATATAAATTTTAATTAAATCTATCATAATATTATAATTAATATGGTAGTTCACGCGCCGAGTCCACAATGACTAATGACATTGTATATTGACTAAATTGATTTTCTTTTATTTTTTTCGGAGATCAAATTATTTTTTAAAGTTCAAAGGCTTATTTAATTTTTTTAAAAAAATAAAACTATTTTAAAAATAAAACTATTCATATATTAAAAAATTAAACATAAAAAATATTAAAAATAAAAATTAAATTAATAAAAAATAGAATATACGTATTAAAAATATTAAAACTATTGTAAAAAATTAATTTTTTAATATATATCATAGGTTATAAAAAGATTATAAAACTATTATAAAATGATAACTTATAAATTATTAAAAATTTAAAAATATATCTTTTAAAAAATATATTAACATAATATACACATTTAATATATAGACATATCATCAATAATTATACAAAGTATTCTTACTGAATTAAATTTGGCTTACAAAATTTAAATTAGTCGAGATTTATAAATTTTAAATTAATTGAAACTTATCATATAATTATCTTTTGAATTAGTCAAGACTTATAAATAGATAATTAGAAAACATAATAAGTTTCAACTAATCTAAAAATTATAAATCTCAACTAACTTAAATTTTGTAATTTTCAATTAATTCAATAAAAATACCTTGCATACCTATTATGATATGTCTATATGTTACATGTATATGTCATGTATAATACATCCTTTCTAAAAATAAATTTTTAATAATTTATTTGTCATGTCATTCACAACGTCATCAACCACCGTGGACCTTCATATTAATATTATGGACTACCACGTCAGTATTATAATTATCAACGTCGGAAAACGTTGGTCAAAGGACCACATGAAGTTTATTTTTTTGAATTAGAGATTTATATTGAGAGAAAAAATAATACAAGTGTCATGTTATATTTTTAAAATACATTAACCTTAGATGTTTTTTTTTAAAAAAAAACAATGGGAAAATTGTATCTTTCCTCACATATAGTTTTATTCTTTCTCCTATTTTTTTTATTGTATTTTCATTTTTTCTACTTATTAAACTTTCAAATTGATGTTGTTTTGATTACTATGGATTATTTAATTATTATTTTTGCATGACATATTATTTTTTTATTTAATATAAAAATAATTTTATTATTATTTTGAAAGTTGATGGTGATTGATGGTGGACGATGATTATTTTAAGTCTTTTTAAATTTAGTAATAGTAAAATATTATTTTATTATTTATTTTAAATTATTTATATATTAAATAATGATAAAATAATAACACATCATATAAAAAATAATAAAATAATCAGAGTATCAAAATAGGAATAATTTGAAAGTTTAGTGATGAATATTTTAATGAGAAAATCGTCTCAGTGACCAAAAATACCTTATAATATACGATTTTAACCAACTTTTTCCGGATTTGTCAAAATGACCAACAAAATCGCAATGCGATCGCTAATTCGCAACGCGATCTCCATTATCGCAAATTCGCGTTGCATTTCGCGTTGCGATAGTTTGAAATCGCGTTGCGATGGTCTACAGTGTCGTTGCGATTTTCCCAATTCGCAATGCGAATAAGTAAATCGCAACGCGAATTGGGAAAATCGCAATGCGATACTGACTATCGCAACGCGATAATACAAAATCGCAACGTGATACTGACTTTCGCAACGCGATACTGACTTTCACAACGCGATTTTGACTTTCGCAACGAGATAATACAGAATCGCAATGCGATTTTCAAAGTTCGCAACAGGTTTTAGTTTCGCAACACAAATTTTTTTGGTATATATCTACGCAGCAGCAACAACTCATAACCTAAATCCCTAAATCGCAACTCATTCCATCTCCATCTTTCACTCTCTCTGGCGACATCCGTTCCTACATCCTTCCCCATCCGGCAACAGGTCTTAGTTTCGCAGCTCGTTTGTTTAGTAAATTAATTTACAACCATGAAATCATCTAATGTTGATCATGTTTGGATAGATTTGTGTTTTGGAGGGTTATGGGAGAATGTTCATGGTGTTAGACATTCATTTGACTATCGCAACGCGAAAATGGCTATCGCAACGCGAAAATGGCTATCGCAACGAGAAAATCGCAATGCAAAATGAAAATCGCATTGCGATTTTCTCGTTGCGATATTCATTTCGCATTGCGATTTTCATTTTGCATTGCAATTCTCTCGTTGCGATAGTCAGTTTCGTGTTGCGATAGTCTGTTTTGCCTTCAACATAATGCAGATTGAAAATCAACAAATCAACTATTACATTTCAATCAATTAAACAAGCACAAATAAGAATTATGTACACATCAATTAAACAAATCAACATTTACAAATCATCTTTTACAAATCAATTAAACAATCAAAAAATAATAATAATTCTTATTTCTTCATAAATAATTGAATCAATGAATCAACAACTTTGTGACCCCGTACATCCATTTCACGCAGCTCACTTAAGGATTAACCTGCAGAAACCAAACATTTGCTCAAACAAGACTTCCTACACATCTAAAACCTACAAACAGCAAATTATTGAATTCTAGGTACTTAACCAAACATTTTCAAACCAAAAGGAGTATATATGTTAACAAAACTTGCATTTGACTTACCAATTAACAATGGACACTTTCATAAGGCGAATGCAGGTAGGCAGCGTCTCGAATATATTGCTCTAGCCATATAATGCCGAAACCACAAGCCTACTTCAGCTCTATCTCTATCGGTGGGAGGTAGAAACTCTGTGCTTCCCATCGTCAAACGCGCCAAGCACAAGCATACGAGGGGACCACAATCCCCTCTGGCTCCCGGCGATTGTTGTGGCGCGGTCTCGTCTCTGACAACTGTGACATTGAACTTCTTTGGCTTCTTGTGTCCAGAATGAGTCCAATAATTAATCCCATCCAAGAATTTAGCCAAATGAGAGCTCCATCCCTTGATCATATCTCTCAAATCAGACAGTGATATGTAATTTATCATGCTGTCATACACTATTATCTTCAGGGATGGGAGCTGAAGTTGGACGAGAAGCCAATGACGACGTTCCAAAACAGGGATAAACACCTGCAATCATAAGTAATAATTCATTTATTTGCGCACTTATTTATGAACACCTTTAAAAAATTTAAAAAATAAACACTAACCTTATCGACCTCCCACCATGCAGGATAAAGTTTAGCTTATCCATTGCCCAACGAAAATGATTCATCTCGTTGATTCTTCAAGTGAACTGCGTGGAAAGCCGCCGACATTATTGTATATCGTGAATTTTTTTTTATTTTTCCTAAGCTTCCTTATTATTAGTAGACGTGACACCCACGCATCGATATGCTGTTTTACAAAAAAATACATATATTAGTAAATTACATTAATTTTTAAAAAAATTAATCAAAATCATATAT